ATGTGGTTAATATACATGACTACCTACCGCAAAGGCAAGGTTACCAGAAGTACCCTGAAGGCACCGGAATCTACCAGTATGAGGAGGAATCATCACAGGGAAGATACAATGAAAATAATATTCAATACCCAGAACAGCAACAAAGTCAAAGGTATCAAGAATACGGTTATGATAATAATCAGCAGTATCAATATCCAACAAGGATCGGAATGGTTCCAAACTCTTTTTCTAAGTATCAGCAGCAAACATTACAGCCATCACAGGATCAGGGAGGTCATGGCTACAGCGTAGAGTCACAGGACCTTCAGAGAACAGCTGATGTCTACTACAACGGGAATAACTACAAGAGGTCAAACAAAGATGAGAGTGTGAATTAGTTTATCAATGTGTAAATAAATAATTTGTATCCAAGCTGTATTTATTTACCTGCTAACATGGGTATGCACAGGTGTGGGGGGGGGGTCGTCATTTGAGGTCAGTTTTACATTTCTCTTAAAGTAAGTATCTTCCCCTAATACTTCTTGACACCTGTGTTCATGATAACTGTAATAGGAAACTATATTTTACAACAAAATTCACTATATATTTTTAACACAAAATATTTACAACAATATGTTAATTTCCATTATAAAACTAGCTGCGGCTTTGACAGATCTATCAATAAGCAAAAGTAGAACCCTTGACTATTAATACAACAACTATAGTTCGGCCGCTTAGAAAACGACCTGCGCGCTAATGCTAAACCAATGCTGGAGGAGGTCCCTTTCTAAGCGGCCGAACTATAGACATTCCATCCCAATGTTAAAGCTGTAGCCAGGTTTTTAATCAAATTTGTCTTAGTTGATGGGAGCCACCTACAGATTGCGCTGATATAAATTAATGATTTCTGCCAATTACACGATGTTTTTTTAACAAGTCAAACTAAAGGAATGACTTATGAGCTGTAGCAACTGTTGTGACCCAGCAACTATGTCAGTAACAAAAAAATAAGGTACAAAATAGAGTTTTAGACACTATATGTGACTGGCTCACACAACTACATTATTTTTTAGTAAAAAATTGGCGACAGCTGATCGATATAGATGGGATGTCTTCTTCTGTATCCAATAGTCAATGGTAGAACTCATCGAGCAAGTTTTCATTTAGTGAAGTGAATTGTGCTTTTGCAACTTTAATTGGAAATTCATCACTATTATCACTTGAATTAAGTCATCAAGGGTTGTTGCGATACAAAGTCCTTTTGAATAAGGGAGAGTTAAAGTTCAAATAAATTATATGCTCAAGCTTTTAAGACTATTACATTTTAAAGTCACATTGATTTTATCATTTCAACTACCTTTAATTTTTGTGTGTTATCTTAAATTATTTTTAGCGAATTTCCCTATAGGGAAGTAGCTATTACCGTAGGTCTCATGGTAAGACCTAAGCCCGGGACCGATTTACTTTTTCATTTTGATGTCCCCAGAGGCCAAAAACACCATTCGTTCAAATTTTTATATATCTATATATAGAGATATATATATATATATATATATGTGTCCATCCGCACGATAACTTGAGTAATTTTTGTCCGATTTTGATAAAATTTGGTTTAAAGGTGTAAGGCGGGATAAACTTGAATGAGTTCGCGAACCAGCATGATCGGACTATGGGAACGGGGGTTTATGGGGGGTTTTATGGGGTAAAAATAGGTTTTTCCCATTTTTGACCCTAAAAACACGAAATTTCACAATTTATTTTTAAACCATTTTGTAGAGCTTAAAAAAGCCAATAATTTAGTATATTGAAGCGTTATTATGCGCCTATTTGTTACGGAGAAAATTCAAAAAAATTGTAATTTTGAAATTCCCATGTTATTCTTATGGAGAATAAGTCAACTGTTGTAGTTTGCTTGTTTATGAACATATTTTGATTGATTTTGGAAAATACTTTTATTTCTTACTAAACTATTATCAATTTATAAAAAAAATCTTTTTTATCCTCCCTGTTGCAGCAAACCTAAGTACTCGTTAAACTTATTCTATTTAAATAGGAAATAAATGTGCTATTTTTATGGAGACATTTTAGTGTAAATCCAATCAGGTTAATGGAAATTCGCTTAGTCTGCAGGTTTGTTGCGGCGGGGGTATTGTATTTTAGTATGTTATACACATACAATGAATTTACCAACTGAAATACTTTCTTAATCTTTTATATTGTGGCATTGTGGGATTGTTAAAAATTACAAAAGTTGTAAATGTTTGCTACCATGGATTTATAGATCTTAGCGCTCTCATTGTAATTTCAATCAACTGATTAATTATTTATTTAGGTTCATGACAGTTTTAAAGGTAAAATATTTCAGATCTTTTGTCGAAATAAATGAATTTTCAACTTTCATACCAAGGTCCAAGAGTTATCAATTATCTAATTTTGATCTACAAATTATCATTAATGTATCTTAAGACTTGATAAAAGATATTTTTTTTTCTTTTTCTGGGTAACGGAAAGACTAAGACTCCAAGCTAGAGCCAGAGATGGCTTGGATAATTTAATAAACTTGACGCAAAGCTCCATTCCACCTCGGCCACACAACGTCGGCATCCCAATGAGATGGTTACTGTACTTTATAACTTATACAGTTTTCTCTCTAAAGCTGGGTTTTCCTAGGTGCGGAGTCGTCGAGCGGAGAGAGGAACGTGGAGAGCGGAAAAGAAATTAACATGGTGTTCCGCTCCGCTTCTAGGAAAACAGTAACATTAAATTGCCTAAGACAAGTGGAGTCCGCTATCCGCGTTCCTCTCTCCGCTCGCCGATTCCGCGCCTAGGAAAACCCGGCTTAACATGTCAAAGACCTCATAGCCTCGAACAACTTTTAACTTGATATCTGTTGAACGTTATTTTATTACATCATACTTGCAACGTGACGAAGATCCATACAAAAAGTCAGTAAATTATTTCTTAAGCAAACACCTCTTTAGAGGTGATAGTGTGTTCAATATGTATGTCCCAGGTTATCTTATAACTGTAATTTTATTTTGTTAATTTTAAATTGAAATGTGGTAATTTATCTATCTACGATGTTAAATGGACAGTAACATTAATCCAGACTGAAGTTATATCTACTCATGATTCTTTTGCATATCTCTAATCTGATATAGTACATGATGACTCCAAATTAGTCTTAAGTTCACCTTTCTCAATAACTGCATTTAGTTTGGATATGAATTCATCACTACAAAGGAGTTCAAACTATTCTACAGAGTTCTACAAGTCAAAGGTTCTACCTACAATCAAATCTTCTAATCATCTGAAAAGTCATAGAGATAAGGAAAAGATCTAATCCAACCTCATGTTAGGGATGAGGCTTTCCAAAACATCTAGACACTACCTTCGACCTTGAATACTGTGTATGGAAGTTAATCAGGTACAATTCCTATCCTGCGACTGTTACGACTCTATTCGAGCCGCACGGCTGTAAAAATTGACTGCTTCAATGCAAAGTAAATACAACCCATTCCTATTGAGCCTCTACAGCCGCGCGACTGGAGCGCCTAGAGCCACGCAGCTAGAGTCGTCACGACTTGACTGCTCCGTGAGCACTTCAGTCACGCGGCTGTAACGAATTTATAGTTTATACATACAGAGTTTGAGGTGTGTACCTTCATAGATAATTCAAAGTTGATGGAACTGGTTTGTCACCACCCATACGTTTTCAACCCCAAGCACCCCCAATACTTGAAGAAGATGTCTCTGAATAAAAATATTCTGAAACCCCTCTTTTCGCCGTACCATGAACAATGGATTAGGATGTTCATTGTTTTTTACCATGCACATTAATATTTACTTTTCTTCGTCTTCTCCAAGTAATATATTCGCTGCCAACTGTGCTTATTCTATGACGGTCAAGAGTGCAATCGCACAAGTCACTTGTCGTGGGAGTCGCAGGAGTTGCGGCATAGGAATTAAGACAAGTGACTATAGTCGTATCAGTCGCTGCATAGGAATTGGACCTTAACGAGATATTTCCCATTCAGCTGGGTATTGTTAAAGAATATTTCATGGAAAAAATATAAACTTTTAGCAGTACACTGTGTCAGTGGCTTAATTAAATTATTTTCTTTTCTTTGCTACCTACAACCCCTCATACTTATCATTGGACTCTGGTACATTAATATTATGATTAGTTTATAGTGTTACAATACAGACTACAAATTCTAAAATAAAGTTTTACAATGAATATTGTCTCAAAATGTAAAGAGTAAATTCATTTTGCTTTTTTAGGCGTGCTTTTTAAATGAGTTAAAAATGTACACACATAAATAATATAACACACATAATAAAATCACCCATGATAAGTTTTGATAGGGAAAACATCATATACGTTTTACGGGTGTTTCAAAATCAATATTGAGGATTATATATTTTAAAATTCCATTCCAGTGAATTTACAGTTATAAATTGTGCATTGAATGAAACGGCAACTCATGTAGATAATCATGACCCGCATAAGGAAGATACAGTTGATTAGTCAAAACTCAAAAGTCACTATATCTGCCTGTCTAGTGGCAAAAACCCATCTTTTTATCTGACGCCATTGTTGGGATTTATACTTTTGATACTTATAAAGAATGGTATGTTCGTGCCTCCATTACTAGCTGGACGCATCCCTATCAGTAAATTTAATTAATGTAGGAATTCCAACAAGTATTTTATTGACACCTGTCAACGTTTTGGAAGAACTCACTTTTTTCTTGCTTCTATGACAAATGGTGCCCATTCATATTGAATACTTTTAGCAAAGATCACACATTTTACATAGCATGTGTAATCTTTGCTTTTAGGAATAAAAAACTGTTTTCGTTGGTAATATTTAGTCAGTCAAGAAGAAAGAAAAAAGAGTAAAAGAACTATGTAGGTACTGTTGTCAGACATTTTTATACAAGGGTGTTTGACATGTACTAAAATGTATTTTATCAATAACTTCAGCTTTTGTTATATATCCTTGGTTTTCTTTTCAGGTCATACTCAACATTTTACTTACGACAACTCAAAAACAGAGGTAACATCGATAGCTTTGTCGTTTTACTCGGGACTGTTTGCATACAACGGATGGTAAGTATCAAACAATATTTCCATAATTTTATGGCTATTAACAAAAATGCTTAAAATATTATAAACGTTTTTTGTTAAGTTAACCTAGTATTTCACCAAAAAATTGCATTTAGTGTATCAAAATATTAAAAGTAAACTAAACTGCTGAACTGAAAGTAATTATAGAGCCAAATATGTCATATAAACGCATGAGCATAATAATTTACTACAATCGCTTTGAAATTTAATTTAATATTTTTTTCCTTCAGTCTCCCGACAAAGTTGGCTTCCTTGTACTGTTTATAGTACAGAAAGCTGCTAATTGCTGCATATTTATACTTTGCCGTACGGTTTATACTTTGCCGTACGGTTTATACTTTGCCGTACGGTTTATACTTTGCCGCACATCAGGATTCTAACGAAACAACACAAAACAGCGTGGTTTTATTATGCACGTAATCCGTGTACGCTTGGAAATAGGTTGGCAACACTTAAAGATAAAAATACTATGAGCAGCTGATTGACTATTATAACTACAATTTAACCTGTCATTTCGTGTTTATAGTTTCGGTATTTCTTAACTTTCTGGCCTTTTCTTTTAAACGTTTTTAAAACATTCCTAGATCTTAATAAACAAGAAAATACCTTTAAAGCATTTTTTTAGGCGCGGAAACCACTTCAAATTAGAAAAACATACGGAACTATATTCTCAAAACGCGGAGCACATTTCTTGCCGAGGAAAAATAGCGGAGTGATACGGACCGCGGGTACTACTTTCTCTAGGGCACCATTTGTGTCGCCAGCTGAACCTAAAAACGTGTTGTATAGTGTTTGATAGACTAATTATTTATATGCTTTATAGTGACTGTAGGAAAAATATAATGTGTAACACGAGTGAAAAAGGCCTTTGCTGCACTCGAGATCATTCCGCACTCGCCTGCGGCTCGTGCGTAAACATTGCTCTCGTGTGCAGCAAAGTGCCACTTTCACCACTAGTTACACAAATAACTATTTCATGTTTATAAATAAATATTTTCTTTGTTTAACTAATTTCCTAATCAGATAGTGACACATTTGATATACATATTTGTTTAAAGTGGATATGATTGCAGGGTGAGTGTAGAAGGAGTTAGATGCCATAGAATAATATATAGAATAATAGATGCTATATATAAAATAATATATACCATATTACATATTGGTTATTAAATAATACAAAATACTTATGCTTAAGCTATAATCAAGGACAGGTGGGTCCAGTATTAAACCATAAAAAAATGTAATCAAGATCAAACTTGCGAACTTTTTATTAGTAAAATATAGGAAGCACTGTATAACCACACATAACAAAGAAAATTATATTTTTCTTTTGGCCTTTGTTTTAATTATCATTATTCTTCTTAAATATTCTTGTATGTGATTTCAGGAACTATTTGAACTTCATCATTGAGGAGCTGAAAGATCCCATCAAGTAAGTTTTTTTATTTCTTATTTTAGAACTCTTCAAATTATTTTCAAGTATCCTCTTATCGTTCCAAACTACTCGACCACCCATACTGTTGACAGGAGTTCTTTTCAAAATCAGTGATCTGTAAATTGAGAAAAGGTTTTTATTTATATTAGATTTACCTTCATACAACCTTCCTATCATTTATTTTCTTTCTTTTTTCGTTTCTTTTTTAATTTTTAGATTTGCCTGAGTTTTTGAATGGGTAAGATGTTTGTGTCACCCTAAGTATTTCAACAGCTTTTGTGGTATCTTCAGGGGAAGAAGGCCCCGGTATAACTCAAGAGCTTAGGCAAGAACAATAAAGACAAATTAAAATTGAATTCAAGTTTTTTAACTGGGATGGCACAAAAAACATTTCTATTTAATTATCCTGTCGTATTATAGGAACCTGCCCAGAGCCATCGCTATCTCCTGTACTCTGGTGACAGTGGTGTACGTCGCCACCAACGTAGCTTTCTACACGACACTGAGCCCTGAGGAGGTGCTGGGTTCGGAGGCCGTAGCTGTGGTGAGTGTAAACAAGTTGAAAAAATGTGTTTGTTTTACGGCAGTGAAAACAGATGTTTTAGTACTCCTGATTGATATATGATTACATTATCAATTCATTTTTTTTATCGTTTCATATTATATATATATACCATACTACATATGCTTCACTACAGCATTGACATTTACCCTTAATTGACATTTAGACATGATGACTTTAAATTTATCATTGTGTTGTCGAGTAATATGTGTTCCTTCTAAATGTAACAGCTGTTCACATAAAATAGCAATACTGTATACATGTAGTAATACAAATGTATACTGCGTGTCCCAGAAAGGAATGCACTTTTAAAACGAAGAAAACAGAAAAATGGCTTTATTTAGAGCTATTTTTGCAAGAATACGTGTTTTTAAACTTCAGGGAAATTACTTGTGAAAGATTACATCATTCAGATGTAGACCCCTCCGGCGCCGGCACTCCGCCAAACAAAACCTTACATCTGCGAAGACTCGATGGCAGAGTTTTGGTGGGATGGCTTAAATTTCCTCACGGATATTTTGCTTCAGACGATGTTGGGTAGCAGGAGCGTTGTTGTACACCCAACTTTTTGGATACCCTAAAAAAGTCTAATGAAGTTAGGTCTGGGCTTCTCGGAGGAAAGTTGATGTCACCAAATCTGGAAATGACTTTCCCACGAAACAGCTGCCTTATTGCAGTCATGGAGTGTCTCCTACTGAATGACTTGTAGGCTAGCTCCGTCATGTTGGAACCACAATCTTTGCCTGTTAGCCGGAGGTAACGTCTACAAAAACGGCTGTAAATGATCATCAATCATTGTTTTGTATAGCTGGAAATTTAGTGTCACAGTGTTCCCTTGGCTATCCTCAAAGAAATACAGCCCAATTTTGTAATATGCTCGATATGTTGTTCTGAACGCACTTCTCTATGGGGACCGATGGGACGAGGGTTCATAGTTGATCCTGTAGCTTTAAATTTGCGTACCGGTACCCAGCATTTAATTATGTTCACTGATGGTATTTGGTTGGGATCATGAAGTCTGTATTTAGCGCGGGAGTATCGTTGAATTGTCACATAAGAAAGCATTTGGTAATTGTCACTTAAACAGAAAGCACTGGAAAAGCAATCGATGGCAAATAATTTTCCTCCTGATAAGCTCCTTATCTTATCTCTCTTGGACATTTGGCTTTACCCAAAATCCAAAATGAAATTGCATTTCTTTCTGGGACACCCAGTAATATATCAATCACAACGGCAATTCCAAGTACCATCAGGGGATGGCACCACTTTTCTGTAAAAACCAGTTAGCCTACTGATGAGTAATCTCTTTGAATTACTACACACGATTTTCAATTATTTAATTCACTATGAGTTTCTAGATTGTAAGGTGCATTGATGATTTCCAGTAAAAGATCTGCAAAGGAACAATTAAGGAGAATCACTATCACAACACCAGAAGTGTGAACTATACCCCCTGCCAGCACACCACTTTAAGCTACAACTAAACGGCTAACTAAACAACGAACTAAACACTGCTACATCGGCCGAAAACTACATAATTCACTATTGCAAGAAATGCACACCAATCACCAAGAGAAGGAACGTGCTGAGATCGGTACTGAAAGCATGCCTCCTGACCCGCCGTCTTACCCACTCAAAGAATTTATCAATAAAAATCTTAGCTACAATTGACTCCAGATTATAGTCCCACACTATTTTTGTTTTCACACAACTGTAATCTAACACTATTTGTACTCTTGATGGTTAATAAATATGATTCTGATTCTGATTTCAGTCCTTCGCTAACCGAGTGTTTGGATTCATGGCATGGACGATCCCCGTGTTTGTAGCCATGTCTACTTTTGGTGCTGTCAATGGAGTCCTCCTTACCTCATCTAGGTCTGTATTTTTCTTAGTCTTTGACTAAACCATTTCTTAAAATTTGATAATCTTCTGTGAGCACAATTTTATTGGACTGTTAACAAATGCTCAAAAGTTGTTACCTGCAAAAATATTGAATGCAAACAAACTTCAAAAGTTGGGGTTTGTCTGGTTATCTAATATACTATTGAGATTTAAAAATATCAGTTAAAATAAGTGCTCCAGGTCCTGTCAGAAAGTGTTACTGATTAGTTATTAGCAGCCCAATGACTATAAGAGAAAATAGAATCCAAAAGTGTATCTTTTAAGGATCAAACTGGTAAGCTTCAGATTTGAGGGTGAAGTATAGGTATTATCACTTATCACAACCTAAATAAATGGTAACTGATACAAGATAATTAACATGGGCGTACCCAGGGAGGGGGGCCAAGAGGGCCCGAGCTCCCACCAGACTTTGAAAACATACATTTTATTTAGGATATTTATGACCCCCCCCCCCCCCCAAACTCTATCACTGGGTACGCCCCTGATACTTAAAAATCAGTACATAGTTTATGTTTTACAAGCATAATTTGTGTTTTACAAATGAGATTCAAATTCATATATCTGAATGTTTCTCAGGTTGTTCTACGCAGGTGCTTGTGAAGGACAGATGCCGGAAATTCTTACTATGATTCAAATTTCCCGCCTTACTCCCACCCCAGCCGTACTAGTAATGGTAAGTACAAGTTAGAGTGAAAAACTCCAGAGAGAGTGTACCAGTTGGAGTGGTTTTGTTCAAAAAGCTCATCTCTCATCCTTCAATACTGAAATAGTTTTTTTCATTATCCTACACACGAAAGTAAACTTTTCAAACGTAAAATGAGCTAAGAAAATATGTTATTCCCGCTACTGCACGGCAAAATTACATAACGTCTTTTCTGTGCATTTGTGGTGCACGGAAAGTAACCATTATGGGATTTTGCGGTGCAGACCAATCAGCTGTTGCATATTATTTGCTGTTGCACTGTTTTGTACCTCGACATAAGCACGGAAACTCAGCCTTTTTTCTTGATACTAAGTTGAATAAACAAAAATATTCATACAAATTTTTTATATCGTAATGAAAAATAATGTTCAATACTCGTCTCAAAAGTGTTACTGCGGGGCTCGATAGCTTATTCCATGCTCGGCAAAATCTCTCCCTGCAATAAGTCACTTTTGAGACTAGTAATGAAAAACTACTATACCGTCTATATGTACCTGCTGTAGCTAATTTTTCATTAAGGATAAAAATAGGTTAATAATCCTACACACAGAATTATGCTACTGGAAAATTATTATTCTCTTTTAGTTGTTGATGCTTTAATGGTTGATGGCTTAATGTAAAAGATGCGGCAGTTTACAACAAGTCATCCTTCAAGTTTGGTTTGGCTAAAAATTAATTGAGTCGCTCACAGAATTTGCTACAATTGTAATAATACGAACCGATTGGTTTTACATTCTTTGACAATTTATGTGACATATTAGGATGCTACAATTTACAGCATGTTGTTGTCCTTTCAGTTTGATTTTGTTTAATAGTTGGTCTATACTACAGAAATCAGTTATTTACAAACATGACACTGTCAAGAGCTCAATTAAACTAAAATAATTTGTATTCTAAAGCTGGCAACATATTTATTGTGGGAATTGAATATCAACCAACTTCTTATTTTTTTTATATATATTATTCCCTTTGCCATTGTTATTGAAATTAGTAGTCCCTGTAAACTAATAATTTTATTCAAGGTTTTTTTATCAAAGACTTGTCTTTTTTCAGGCAGTGCTTTCAATGATGTATCTAACGGTCTCCGACATCTTTGCTCTTATCAACTACGTTGGTTTTGCTACTTGGGTAAGAACATTGTGTGTGATTTTCTTTATAAATCTTTAATCATGTCAACAAAAAAACTATTTTACATTTACCGAAGTTGGTTACAATTAAGATTTTATTTCAAGCAATCCCCACAATGATTTAACAGTTATGTAGTTGAATAACTTTCGGTGTTGAATATGACTATGGTCTGAGTCTGAGGATCAATTAATTCTGGACCAAATGATGATAAGTTATCATTATTATTTTATCTACTTAGCAAGAAGTCAGTGGTTGATTGTAACATGATCGTTGTCAAGACGTTTGACAATATTAATGGCAAGATAGAACAGAACCAAATATTGTACTGTTTGATATTTTCCTATAAATACAACTGATATCTTACTCCTTTCACCCAACACGGTTTTTGCTGTTTTTAGTTGTAATCTAAAGAAGAGCATGAGAGCTTTCACACTACACAGTTACGGCGACGACAGAAACCCGGCCGGCTTGCAGCCACCCGCTGCCACAGAACCAGACGATTGTTGCACCATGGCCGTTTGTCAGTGGCACATGTAGTTAATGTAACACATTCACGACCAGAGGTCTCACACAAAGTCCCTCATACAGAGGAGAGTGAAGGCTGGTAGGCAACGTGTTAAATCCAAGTTATCATGTGTTTCATCTGAACGGGAGCCCACAAGCCCGCACAAATAGATCAGCTGTTCCAATGTGCATTTTTTACAATCTGACCTGTCAATTGGACACTGTTTACTTTTTTTTCTGTTTGTACGATGTAAACAAATTCATATCTTGCCCTACGGTCAGAAATCATTTAATGTGGAAGAAACATATAAACGACATAAAATCGTAATGATTTAAACCGGACAGCATAAATCATATAGTGTGAAAGGAGTATTAGAATGTAATTACTTGTTTTTTTTTTGCAAGTTCCGATATGTAAGCTAATTTTGTTTTGCATTTTGTAGTTAAGTATCGGAGTGTCCGTTCTGTGTTTGCCAGTCCTGAGATGGACTCAGCCTAATCTGGCTCGACCAATCAAAGTGAACCTCTTCTGGCCTATCCTGTACATTGTGTGCAGCTTGTTCGTAACCATCGTGCCTATGATCGCCAGCCCTGTAGAAACTGGTAAGTCTTCTGTCTGAGTAACAAGTCTTCCATTAAAGACTGCAAAATGTTGGGATCTTATGTAAAAACTTACATTGACTAAAGTAGCAGTTTATTGTACATTGAATGAATGTATAATGAAAACAAGAATAATCTAAATGAATACTAACACGCATCTACATCACCAAAAGGTGGAAGGAAGCACAGGGGACAGTCTAAATATTAGAGATGTGGCCACATAGCCGACGTTAGGTGGGTCGGTGCTCAGTGCAAACATTCAGAGCGGAACCCTTACTACCAAAATGTAGTATCCCAACAATAATACTACTGGCCAAGAAAAATCGTAAAGTTTAATTTATACATCCCATTTTTTATGATTGAAGTAAAATTGAATTTGATTTATATTTTACACCAAGCCCGGGGCTCCCAACGTGTGGGGCCATAAGCGGTCGCACCTGTCGCACGTGCCTAAGGCCCTCTCTGGGTGTGGGATATATTAATTATCGAGCCAATCTTTCAGAAAACAGCTTGGCAAACACATTTGTAAGGTTTTAGATTTCAGTTTGGATATTAAAGAGAAAAATGTTGTTTTTCATATGTTTTAGTAATTTTTCAGGCCAACTTCTTGTGAGGTTTTGCTATCAACACATTTTCTAACTGACTCAATCTTTTCACAGGTATTGGTTGTTTAATGATTTTCTCGAGCGTACCTGTCTACTTGGTATTCATTGCGTGGAAGAATAAGCCAATGTTCTTCCAGAAATTTGTTGGTAAGTTAAAACTCTAGTTTGATTAATTTGTATCTACTACAATTTAAAGAATAATGTTATCCATGAATATTATTTTGTTTTATTGAGTAAAAAAAGTCAATTAGCTTTAAAATCCTTATTTGTTGGAAACCTGACTCTTCACTTGCCAACACAGCAACTAAATCAGTAAAAAACAAAAATAATCTTTTCTAGTTTGGGTAGTATAATCTGTAACCTGTGTCCAGTAAATTTACTAAGTATTGTAGTTTTGTAAACATTTATCAATTATGAAATCTTGCTCATTTAGGGGAATTATTTTATGCTTTCAAAAAGTGTTATGTTTTTGTTATTAAATAGTAGATTTTATGCATTTTACAATTTTCATATATGATTTAATTATTTCACTTTTTACTGTCTTATCTAAATTTATATGTTCTTTTTGCTGTATATTTGTATTTGTCATTGGGAGAATGAATTCAATCAGTTGGTCAAGATAAAAGGTTGTGACAAATTCTCTGGTTTATCTGACAACATAAAAAATATTGAATTTGCAAGACTCGTTTTTTGTCAGTTAGGAAAAATTGGATCTGATTTAATCATCAATTTTGATTTGTGGTGAATAAATAGGCTACTTTAATACTTTTAATACTTTTAATTGAAATGACGACCATACAAAGTACTGTAGGTATTTTTTAAATCCAAATATGAATGGAGATGAGTGTAGGATGAGTAGCGTGATCTTGTAGTCTTGTTAGTGACTAAGGCCGACATATTCCTTAGACACAGCTGTTAATTAATAGCCCAAACAGCTAATGGCAACTAAGGGACCTATAGTTTACAGTGGAATCTGAACCACATTTTTCCTTGGTATATACGAATTGGTCTAATTATCAGGATAGTACTGCGGATAGTCGTAATACTCACTAGTGCGGACGTTAATCCACACCAGGGAGTATCCCATCCACAGTGCATGCCTATAAATATCCACAAACTAATAGGAGGAGTTTCTTTTAATTAGGTGTTGATGAACAAAAAATGAATAGCCAAAAGTTGATAAGATTTCCACTATCCAGTGTTAACTTTCATTTTAAATATTTTTGTTTAAGTAAAACGAAACAAATACCTTAAGTTTAACCTCATCCATTATGTTTATTTACTTCATAATTATTTAATAATTTACTCTTTACTTTCTCCAATCATTTCATAATTTCCATGTTTTATTTCCACAGCATCTTCGACCCATGTGTTACAAAAGCTGTGTGTGGTTGTAAGGCCACAGAAGAAACAGGTGACAACTTTTGTTTTCTCATTTTCCATCTTCCTTTTCTTTTGCACTTTATCTCTTACTCACACCCCTACCATAATGTTTTGTCTGACTGACTAATTTAAACATAGTGTATGCATTTACTAATCTATTCAGCTTCCGTTTAGGATCTGGTAATTATGGGTGGAAGTAATAGTAATACTTTATATAATTTTGTGTTACAGTAGAGTCTTGTAAACTTAAAACTACAAGTTCAATCATGTTTCTTGTTGAAATAAATCTTTGAATTAATTTTAAAGTATATCTCACTTTAACATCTATATCATGATGTTTCAAGTATGCAAGACTCTACTAATAATAAGTTTAGTATTTAAGATACCCAAATAAATATATGCTCAATATATGCTCTTGAAATGCTTACTTGTACATTATTACTTGAAAAATTAATTTTTTCAAAAATGGAATTCTATTATTTGTCCACTCAGGCAGTGGCTGATCAAGAAATATTTTTCTACTACTGAGTAGCGATTATTTATTTTGGGAATCTTCGATACATACTTATACGAGTAATTTATTGTAGTGTTGTATTTTTCCCTTCTGTCTTCTGCACCTATAACTTTTGTGTTAATTGCACATTAGCAAATCAAACTTAAAATAGATTTAAGCAAACGTAAGTGACTTTATTATTGTTAGAAAAAATAATGTACTGTAGTTAAACTATTGTAATTTTTTTAAAGCTTCTGGCTTTAGAACATTTCCAAATTGACGCTTGACTTAGGTTGTATAGTGATTAATATTTTGGAATTGGTTACAAAATTTAATGCCAAGGCTATGTTTTATTATTTTATTAATGATTTTTATAAAATAATAGCTTTCATATATAAATCCAATTGCAGATGTATTATTACAAGCAAACTCTAGCTTTTCTATAAGTTCTGTCCTACAAAATACACTTTTTGTTCCTTTTAGTTTTAGTTATTTCTGTTTATTATAAAATGATCTCCCTCATAAGTAAAACACAACAATGCAACAGTAAAACAGCTGATCTGGCTGATCTAGTTTACACTTAAACTTACTGTATCCTGTTTCTGTGACTGATACTCATAACAACTAAATTCTTTACAACTTTAAATTTGTTTGTTCTTTCTTATTTTCAAATGTTATTTTTGAATGAGCTTGTACTGTTTGGTTTTTGGTATGTAGAACAAATTTACATCTTTGTAGATTACCGGTATTCAAGGAAATTTTGATTACCTAAAAATCATTTATAAGCAATACAGGTTGTTCAATGGTATGTCTGATTTTTCAGGAGCGCTAACCAGACTTCTACAAAAGTCGATGATGGTTGTCGGCAAGCAAGCACCGGCCAAAGTGTAAAAGTCTTCCAGCCCATCGTTGTCTCCTCCTAGAGAGTATTATTTTTCATATCAATACAATACGTAGGACTTTTCATTCTCTATAGATTTTGTTAAACTTTCAACATGATTTGAATGATTGTAATCTAGTTCCTGTATTGTATTTGTTTTCGATGTCATGAAGTAATAATTTTTAATGATATTTCGAGGATGACAATAACTAGACTCGTAGGAAGTTGTTGTAGAATATATTCGTAAGGTTGGTAATGTCTGTTAAAGAAATACCTCCGAACATTCCAACAGCATGAGGCTTTTTGTCAATGTGATGCAAAGCGATGTACAATATTGGCTAATGCTTTGTCGATTGTTGATGAATTTGTTGTGTATATAGCAGTGTAACATTTATTTCAAAGCAATGGCTATAACGTATTTAATAATTGTTTTATTTTGTTTAATGTTTACCAACCGAGTTGAATTTTTTTATTGTTTTAGTATTGTAAAATCTGAAATGTACAGTTGTTTTAAAATTGTATGGTTACCAATTGAGATATTATGTTTTTTATTAAATTTAAGGATACATATTCTACTTCAGATAGGAATTTAAACTCTACAAGAGTTTTAAAACTGTCTACCACAAATAAATCGGCATAAAGTTCCAACATTTAGGAATGATAAGAAAAATTCCTTGCTGGATCATTGGTTGAAGTTTTTGGTTACTAAACTTACATTCTACCAGAAAATCAGATGGTGGTTTAAGCGTGGGTTGAAAGAACGTTTCTGTGATTTAACCTTAGAAAAAGTGCTTAAATGAAGAACAGGCCTAACTTTTAATATTTTCCTTGAAGTAACAATATTTTTCAGCAATGACAATGCAAAATATAATGTTGAGTGATACATAAGCAACAAATGACAATATTTGTGGGAATCAACTTAGGAAATATTGCTTCAGCCAAAACTTTCTGAATATTAACTTCTGTATGGTTTAATATTGTATAAATCATATTGAAAAAGTAAAAAAAGTAATAATAATACAACATATAATAATAATAAACTTTCATCCAATATTATAAATGTGTGAGAAGTGTTAGGTGGTATGAACTATTTTAAATAATGGTTTACCCAAACTCTTGCTCGGATTTCTTTTTATACAGCAAAACTTGCAAATGAGAATTCAATCCTACACACTTTGATATAACAACATAAATAAATAAGCATCTGGACCCCTACAGTTAGTTCAACATCAGCTGTTTGGTAGTTAAAGATTACTTTTGAATGTATAAGCAGCTGTTTTTTTTATTAAATATCAAAATCGTAGGAAACAAGATTCCTTTTCTATTGTTGAACATTATTGTTGTTTTGTTATTGTTGCTGTTATTAGACACACAAACATAGTTAATTTGCTAGATGTAAACAACTATTCTTATAATTATTGTTAATCTTAAAACACTGAGGTGTGCCTATTTGAAACCTAGAGTTAACATTAATTAACCATGGAATCCCTTAACAAATTTACTATTTTTAAATCATTTTATGCTAAACTAAGGGTCGATTGAACAAGGTAAAATATAACATTAAATAAATTATCGTTGCATTTAAAACTTTGTAATTTGCTTAGAAGCTTGAAAGTTTAGTTTACATTTTTACTAACTAAAAATTAACTGTATTTTTTATCTGCTTCTGCAGGTAAAGACTTTGAGTTTTTATGTGATAAGTAGATGTTAACATTCCAAAATGCAAAGAGGACTGCCATTTTGTGTAATTTTGATCTAGAATATATTTTTGAAGAAAATGTATATAAAAAAATCAACGAGTAAAATTAGCAGGAAATAAATAAGTAGCAAATCTCATAGGCTGATTAGATTATGATATTTTGTATAAAACTGCATAAGTATATTTTTATGAAAATTGTTCACGATGATAGTTGTTTTGGATCTGGCAGTTGCCTTAAGCATCCATATTCATGATGGTGTCATAGAAAATATCATTAATACAGTAACTATAGGCATAGAACCCATCATAGCATTAACAAAGAGTATGTAGTTAATTTTATTGTAAGACATATCCTTAAAATCGATATAATGAACTGTACTTCAAACAAACATGATTAAACCATTGGTTTTAAGCTCTTTTATATGTTTAAGACTTATATTGAATAAAAAAGTCAAGAGCCTATTTATGTTATATGATGTTTCATGACTTTAAAAAATAGTAGTTAAACCCCAAAGCTGTCAGCTACCATTTTCAAATTAGCACAAAAATTTTGCATTTGTAAATAGTTTAATTCCTATAAGTGTAATGTAGTTTTAAGGACCCCAAGCAATTAGTTGGTTTTGTATTTTAAAATTTAAGTACCTTCGGTTTGTATTTTATAAATATATTTTTGTAACATATCATATTTTGTAGCTCAGTTGTAGAGTTAAAAGGGTTATTTTATACATTTCGGGTACGAATGAGCTTTTACTTTATGTTCTATTGTTGAATTATATTTTATGTTTATAGTTTTAAGGTTATGAATATGCTTGCCATATCTCATATTTGTCTTGTTTTAAGTAGGGTTTTAATTGTTTACATTCTGTTTAGGTAAAGTAAAAATATTTGCTTTAAGCATCAATATTGATGCTAAAAAAATTAATGTTTCAAAAGTCATTAAACATATGAATGTTAAACCTGAATGTAAATAAAACCAAGTAATCTCTCTGACGGAATTTATTAATCAAGCCCTTTTTAATTTTAATACCTTTTTTGTAATAAATATCGCATGATTCTCGACCCTTAGCTGTTTGATGGATAAACGCTTTAAATTTGTGTCTGTATATCCTTAAAGTTTATTGTACCGGTATTGTGTGTGATTTTCAATGAGCTATTAATCTGTTATGAGCGTAATGTTTATTAAAACTTGCGCTAACCTACAAGGGTACATTATTTGATAATAATTTCAAACGTATGCAATAATGCAATTCTTTGGTTCCACGGAGTACACTAGATACTAGTCAATAAACCAAAGTTCATACACTTTAGAAAACCAAAGAGTGTATAATGTCTGTAGGGAATGGCTCCTTTTCTATAAATAAAACAGTTTTTGGATGGGTTGTAAAAACATTTCATAATTTTTAGCAAATTTCCCATATAGGGAATAAGCTATTATCGTAGTACTCATCATAAGACCTGGACCCGGGATTTACTTTTTCGTTTTAAGGTCCCCAGAGGCCAAAAACACCCTCCGTTCAAATTCATATAAATATATATATAATTATGTGTGTGTGTTTCCGTTAATGCGATAACTTGAGCAAAAATTATCAGATGAGTTTGATGAAATTTAGTAGAAATGTGTAAACCTACTTTCGAACGAGATTGCGAACCAGCATGATCGGACTATAGGAACGGGGGTTTATGTGTGGTTGTATGGGGTAAAAATTTGTTTTTCCCATTTTTTACTCTAAAAACATACAATTTCACAATTTATTTCCAGGCCATTTGTAGAGAAAAAGAAATAATTTTATATTTCAAAGCCTTGTTGTATACCATGCCTAACGGTTACACAAATAGTAAAAAAAACAACTTTACATTTAAAATTCCCATGTTATTCTAAGGAGAATAAGTAAACTGTTGTAGGTTGCTCGTTTATGGATATATATTTTTTTTTAATTTGGAAATTTTGTTTATTTCATATTGAGCTATCAACATTTCAATTTAAAACACACCTCAATACCTTCCCTGTAGCAGCAACCGTAGGTACTCATTATTTATATAAATAAAAATGAATCCCTTTTTTGATGGTAATCCATAACTCGAGAACGAGTGCACTGAATTGGATGATTCTTTTTTTGTTGTGTTCCTTAGTGCCAGGGGAAGGTTTTTTATTTAAAGAAATTTATAATCCATCCAACCTTTATTTAGCAATTTGATTTTAACCCTTTGAGTGCCAACGTCCGGGGAACCGGACGTTTTTAAAACGAGCCAAAAGTGCCAACGTCCGGCCGACCGGACGTTTTTAGAACGAGCCAAAAGTGCCAACGTCCGGCTGACCGGACGTTTCGTAATGATCGAACAGCTGTCATAACAACCGAATAAATACTCGGATTCTTTTAACCCATATATTAACATTGAGTCGAAAGTTGCTAGATGCGATACATCGATTTTCGTTGGTCGAAATATCGAAAATTCGATTTTTACGAAATTTTAACCTAAAAATCGCCAGATCGCGCTCGGCATTTTTAGCGCGACCTTCGGGAAAAATCATCGGCATTTTTTGAGCGTTACTTTTATTTCTCGCCTGGCACTCTAAGGGTTAAACATTTTAAAATTTCCTTTACATTAGCTTATTCACATCAACCTGGAGGCAAGTGAGCGAGTGAGCTATGCGAACGAGTTCATCTTGAAAATGAAATGAAATTTAAAAAATATCTTTAAAAAACTATATCTTTAAAATGAACGAGCATTTGACATAAAACTGTTAAAATTGAATCAACTATTCTAACACTCACACAATAATAACCTTTATTTACTTATAATCATAACAAAACTAGATATATAACATATGATTTTATAAAACAGGTAATAAGTAAATTGGATGATGTTGTAACTCCAACACACCCTCTCAACATTCCTAGTAAAGTCCTAGGTAAAAGAGTGATCTTTTAAACACTTGCCCTAGAAGTGGCTTTGTTAAAAGGTCCGCTTGATTATTTTCACTTGGACAGTATTCCAGAAATACTTTGTTCTTATTTATCATTTCTCGAACGTAATGTTTTCGAATATCTAGGCCTAAATGTTTTATTCTAGCACTCATCTTTTCATTTTCAATAAACTTGATACAGCTCTGATTGTCTTCAAATATTACTGTAGGATTTTCTTGGGGGAAGCCCATATCTTTCAACAATAGTCTTAACCTCACTACTTCTTGAGTGGCTAAGCTTGCGGCCATGAATTCAGCTTCTGTTGAAGAAAGAGTGACATTGGTCTGTTTTTTGCTAATCCAGTTTATAGTGCTGTTTCCTAACTTGTACATCATTCCGCTGATTCACCCCCTCAATCAGCATCTACATAGCATGACAATTTCAATTCTTTTTCCACCCCTAATTTTAATTTCTTGTCAATGGTACTTTTCAGATATCTCATTGTTCGCTTTACAGCATTCCAATCACTTTGGGTGGGTTTATCAACTCTTCTAGCTAGAATTCCAACAGCTGACAAAATATCCGGTCTTGATGTCACAGCAAGATAAAGAAGTGATCCTATTGCCTTCCTGTACATTTTGTTATCCGGCAGATCTGGTGACATAGCTGTTGAGTTGATAAATCCAACTTCCATTGGTGTTCTTGCTGGTTTACTGTTTTCCAGCCCATGTTCAATTATGACTTTATTTATTTTTCTTCTTTGGTGAATGTAAAAGTCTCCATCCATCTTATCAATTTCAACTCCTAAGTAGTTGTGAACAACTCCTCATTTCAAAGCATTGTGTCAGTTTTTGAAATGTTTTCTTGACATTTTCAATTGATCCAACACACAAAATGTCATCACATGAACCACTACGTATGTATAATTTCCATCAGTATTACTCGTATATAAACAAGGGTCAGAATTGCTTTTTTCAAATCCCATGCTCATCATTGTTGTATTCAGTGTTTCATTCCAGGCCCGAGCTGCTTGTTTTAGCCCATAAATTGATTTCTTTAATTTATAAACTTTATCTTCATTATCAGATTTCACAAAACCTTCGGCCTGTTGCATATATATTTCTTCTTTTAACTTTCCATTTAAAAAGGCTGTTTTTACATCAAAATTATGCACAGTCAGATCTTTTGTCGCTGCTATGGTTAGTAAAATTCTTACTGTTGTTGAATAAACAACAGGAGCAAATATTTCATCATAGTCTTCTCCATATTTCTGTGAGTAACCTTTGGCTACTAAACGAGCCTTATAGCGCTCAACCATACCGTCATCTCCATACTTTGCTTTAAATATCCATTTACATCCAACTGCTGTTTTCTGTGGAGCTAAATCTACAAGTTCCCATGTATCATTTTTTAATAAGGCTTCCATTTCTTCTTGAGCTGCTACAACCCATTGTTTTTTCTCAGGTTCAGGCAATTTCTCTAATTGTTTCCAAGATTTTGGCTCAATCACATTTCCTTGAGCTATTAATGATAGTCTGTTAGGAGGAACACCTTTTGTTTTTCTTTCAGATTTTCTTACTTTCAAGTTAATATCATTATTCTGATGATCATCTCCATTATTATCCCCATCAATCATATATGGCTCGTCATGTTCAATCTCTTCCATTTCATTTGACATATGTTCTTTAGTTTCATTTGTTACTGTTTGCCTATCATCAAGTACATTTTTCTCATCAGTACCTTTTGGTTGATCAACTTGAACACTTCTTTGATTTTCTTCGACCTTTTCATGTCTTTGGAGTAAACTGTCTACAGGCAATACCCTAAAGCTTGAATTAGTATGATTTGCATCGACATGTGGAAAGGAAGATGTGTCAAAAACTACATCTCGAGTTGTAATGATTTTCCTATCTTCGGGTAACCACATCCTCCAACCCTTTGATACATCTGAGTAACCAACAAATATCCCTTCTTTTGCTCTTGATTGAAACTTGTCATTTGTCTTGTCTAGGATAAAACCTTTACAACCAAACTTTTTTAGATATGAAACATTTGGAATTTTCCTATACCATCTATGATATGGTAATACACCATCGATTGCATCTGATGGGCATCTATTCCTAACATGAGCTGCTGTTGCAACTGCCTCTGCCCAAAACGTTTGCGGAAGATTTGCTTCAATGAGCAAACATCTTGCCATGTCGTTTAATGTACGATTCATCCGTTCAGCCACTCCGTTTTGTTGAGGCGTTCCGCTACATGTTAATCTTCTCTGAATACCATTACAATTCAAAAATCCATCGAACTCTCTGTTAACATACTCTCCTCCATTGTCTGTTTGAAGATATTTAATTTTTCTTCCTGTAAAATTTTCTACTTTGTTCTTGTACCATTTGAAAGAATCTAATGCATCACTTTTCTTCTTCAAAAAGTAAACTTCAACCCATCTTGAGCTATCATCAATAAAAGTAATGAAATATTGAGATTTTCCATGTGACTCAGTTTTCATTGGTCCACAGATGTCAGAGTGAATAATGTCCAGCACTTCAGATGTTCTTTCACTTTTAGGAAAGGGTCTTTTTGTAAATTTTTCTTGAATACACACCTTGCATTGTGGAATAAGCTCTTTTGTGTTCACTTTAATACCTTTAACCATATTTAAATTGATTATTCTTTTCAAGTCTCCAAAGTTCAAGTGTCCAAAATGTTGGTGCCAAGACAATAGACTTGATTTTTCACAGCTTATATTCATTTCTTCACTACTCTCTTGTACGTAATAAAGTCCATTTAACCTATTCGCATGGATCTTTGTCTGTCCATTCTGATCTATTATCAAAGCAGCATCTTTTTTAAACAAAACTTGATACCCATGGTCAGTAATTTTAGCTACAGACATCAGATTTGTTCAAAGTTCTGGTACATACAAAGTGTCATACAAATTAACGCTTAGATTTGTACTCCCATTTAAAATGTTCATATTAACTGTTCCAACCCCTCTTGCATCAGTTGATGAATTATTGGCAAGAGATATACTTCTTCCATTTACAGGCTTGTACTTGGTAAATTTACTGTTCA